CAGCTGATTGTTAAGAATTAGTTGACAGATTTGTTGAAGAAATTATTACGTGCCACGGTACAGCAATCTCTGCCCTTGAAGCAACTTACAAAAGTGTGGATGGAAGAAGATAAAAAGACAATAAACATTAAATTTAATATCTAAACAAATTATATGACATATTAAAAGGTGATAAATGCTATAGAAAAATTTAAAAGTTAGAGTAGTCAAACAGTGAATTAGTACTCATATAGGTGCAATTTTAAACAAAATGGGAAAAAGCTCATTGAAAAGATGACATGAAAATCTTTGCTTTTATAAGAGGAATTCTTTAAGTTATTATATTTCTTCCTAAAACCAATAAAATATGTATGCATTTCTAAAGACAGCAGTATATGTCAGGCTTATAATTGTTAAAAGAGTTTTCTAGAGTATGCTCTTATTCTATTTCAACTGTGGCTAAAAAGCCATTAAACCATTTTATTTTAGGAAAAAGAAAAACAGTGTTAATTATTCTACTTGAAATTTATCCTTAACACCACCAACTTTGGGGAGACTGTTCCTTTAAATATCACTCAATGGTGGAAATTTGTTGATAAATTGCTGATCTTTCCATAACAAATTATTATGAAGAAGATATTAGAGAAAACATTAGTTTGAAAGTGACAGTAAACTTTGAAAATGAAAACAAGTCTGATAGATATTCCCTCCCAGCCTTTCTCAAATGGGGGCTGTCACTGTTGGTTAGAAAAAAGCCTTGTTTTCAAACAATGACCTTCTTATAATTTACACTGTAGCATTGTTCTGTGCCTGTGAATAAATGCAATCTTGCACTGTTGGATTCAGGTTTTCCCTGTTTCCTCTGAGTATCCATCTCCCCACCCTTGTTTGTGGAGCAGAATTGAGAGGCAAAGTGTGGTTCTGGAGCGTTCAGTGACAGCATCACCTAGGACCAAGACAAATCAGGCTCCAACCCAGATCTATTCAAACCCAGGGTGGGAACAGAATCTTTGTCACAAACAGTTATGACACGCACTGAAGTTTGAGAGCCACTGGATTATGTTTTAGGTTACAATACTTTATGGACATGTCAAATTTCAAATAGACTAAAGCAGAAACTAGATGATTAAAATATACATTCAAAGATGACAACAGTGAAATCTTATACACGTATACATATAGACACAATTTAAAAGTGAATTAAGACTCTTCTGACTGGGTTACATATGATCCAGCAAAGTGCAAAAGCCAGCAAGCACATCTGATAGTTTAATTTAATTGTAAAATATGTCTCTAAACAGAATAACAGACTCCATTTATCCTGCTGTTAATCTAGAAGAATTTAAGCATGCCTGAAAGAAATAAGTGATAATAATTTTTATGACAATTTCTTATGAGTAGAATAATCATGTCAAAGTTCAAAAATTGTTTGGTGGATTTTCAGTGCTTATATGATAAATCTATGAATAAATCTGTGAATAATTAAGTTATTCTGGTATAAATTGATCTGGCATAATATCCTACTTACAGTGTCCTGCCTTCCCATACAAATCATAATCTGTTTCTTCTACATAATCTTTTTACTGTTAAATACATTTCACAGTGTTCTTTAACTGCTTCACACTCATCTATCTGATAAGATTTTAGAAGTATACTTATTTCATAGTTATTTCAAATTAAGTTTCTTCATTATGTATTCTGCTATCATATGTAATTTTTCCTTATATATTTAACTCTCATCTGGTAAAATTATTTTTAAATGAAGATTTATTAGTTCAGATTTTTGTATATTTTGGTTTTGCAGATATATCATTATAAATAATGGAGGTAATTAATTTAAAAAGGCCTGAAGCACAAAAATATGTGGAGAATAATTTGACAGTATCAAAAATGAGGATTTCTTTTCAACCAGGTACAACATAGATAAAATAACAAAGAGCCAAAAAATTAGAAGATATATGCAATATCTAAAATCAATATGGGATGAATAATTAAAATATTCAAGAAACCCACAAAAATAAAAAGCTCAGAAATTCAACATAAAAATATATAACAATGCTTTCAAAAGTGAAAAAAGATTAGTTAATAAATATGTATGTTTAGAGAAGAGCAATCTCATTTGTAATCAAAGAAATGTTAACTAAAACTTTAACAAAATTGAACAGTTATATGGGCAAAATTGAGATGTTAAAGTTTATACATCCATTTTAGAAAAGAGAAACATTCATACACTGTGAGTGAGGATATAAAGTGCTTAGGATAGACCTGGAAAAATTAATTATTTCCTACAACCCAGAAATCTGGGTGTAATATTCTCCTCATAATATCCTGTCTTCCCATCTGGAAGCACAATCTGTTTTCTCTACATAACGGTTTCATTTTTCAATAAATTTCACAGTGTTTTGTTTTTTTTGAGGGGGGGCAGGGGATTGAACTCAGGGTCACTCAACCACTAAGCCACATCCCCAGCCTTATTTAGTATTTTATTTAGAGACAGGGTCTCATTGAGTTGCATAGCAACTCGCTTTTGCTGAGGTTAGCTTTGAACTCACCATCTTCCTGCCTCAGCCTCCTGAGCCACTGGGATTACAGGCCAGTGCCACCTCACCTGGCTTCACAGTTTTCTTGTTATTGTGCACAAAGAAACTCTCATAGGCCTGAATCTAGACATGTTCGAGACCATTCACTGTGACAATGTTTGGGATAAAGGGAGTTTAGAGACAAATTATATATTTGTCATTATAGAATGAGTGTCACTTCTGGTGCCCACATAAGATAAAATAATATGTAACAGTGAAAATCTTTTAACTACTCTGACATAAGGCAAAAACAAATTTTGAAAAACCTTTTGAAAGTAGAAACAAATCAAATAAGTCCTAAAGTATAATGTGATTTATGTAAATTGCAAATACCTCCAACACATACAAAGCCATGTAGTTCCAAAAACACACACATAACTAAGGACACAAATATATTAGAGTGGAGAAGAAGAATGGGATTGAGAATAAGATTTGAAGTGAAAACAAATTAAAATAAATAAAGGATCTGCACATGTATTCACAATAATAGAGTGGTTTAACCTGGAGAATAAATCTAAGCAACTGCAACAAACCTAAGATCTAAAATATACTGTATTTTCATTGCCAACTGTTTTATCCCCTATTTCTATCTCCTGTCAATTATGAAGTAATTTCAGTGATTGAAAGCATCTTTATTATGGCTCAATTTTACATAGAATTTTTTTAATAATCTAACATTAAATATAATGTTAATTATGTCATTAAGCATAATGTTCATTTGAAATAAATCTCATCTAACTAATAGAAAATGTTCTGTTTTGTGAAGTTTTAAAATTGAAAATAAATTGTCAAATCAAATTCATTTGAAAATCATATAAATAATATTTTTTAAATAATAAAAATATGACATTGCCTGACATTAAATCATCCTTACATCTTTTTGACAGTGTCTTGTTGTTTTCCAGACTGGTCTTGAACCCCTGGGCCCAAGAGACCCTCCTGTCTCAACCTTCCATGAAGCTGGGAATACAAGCATATGCTTCTGAACCTGACATATCCTTATGTTTTTGTTGCAAATCCTAACTGATTGGTAAAGATTTTACAATATCAGTTCAATTCTAAGTGCAAACATTTTAGTTAGGACATTTCCAATGACAGTCAAACCTTTACCTTTCTATTGAGTGATAACACAATATACCTAACTGCCAATGAGGAAGTTGTAAAATTTGTCCCAAGTACCACAAACTTGAAACATCCAAAATTAAATTTACTTAATGTTAAACATTATATTAGGAGACGGAACATTTTGAGTTACTAATAAATTATTTTGAATCTTTTCCAGTTTAGCTTTCTCATTGCTATGGTTTGAATGTCTCCTCCCAAATTCAGGTGTTGAAACTTAATAGCAAAGATAAAAGGATTCAAAGGTGAAACCTTTAAGAAATGACTGATCCATGAGATTCTCCCTCATGAATGGGGTTAAGGCCCTTGTATAAGAGGCTGCAGGAAGCATTTGGCTTGCTTGCCCTTCTGTCTTCAGCCATATGAGGCCACTTGTTCCTTCACTCCGGAGGACACAGCAACCAGGTGCCATCTTGGAAGCAGAGAGCAGCCTTCACCAGAAAACCAAATGTCCTGTCACCTTGGTCTGGGATTTTACAGCCTCCACAGAACTATAAGAAAATAAACTCTTCTTCTTTATACATAACCCAGTTTGTGGTATTATGTTAGAGAAGTACAAACTAAGACATTCACCAAAATCTGTGCAAGAATCTGGAGACTTAAATTATAAAAATTCAAATGATACTGATGCTCAGTCTATTAAGTAAACTTCATATGATTTTTTAAGAATGGGTATTCATATTCTGAATTTGGAAATGATAACAATATCTTTATTCAAAATTTTTTAAAATTAATCAATATTATACAGTTTTAGTAATGTATGATAGGCATGCAACAGAAATTACTGGAACAACAATTTGGAACAATAAAATGAACAAACTAATATTAAAACATGAATCTCACAGGCTCTATCTTTAGTGAAAATATCCAGACACAAAAATTACATGTCATATAATTCCATTTATATGAATTAATAAAATAGGCAAAATTAATGTACAACAGTGAAAAAAATCAGAAGAATGATTCACTCAGTGCTGTGTGGAGTTGATTAAGAAGGAATACAAAGGGACTTTCTGAAGTAATGGTAATACTCTATACACTGAAGAAGTCTGGATTACACAGGTGAATGTATTTGTCAAAAGTCAATAAATGTGTTTTGTGCATCTCATTGTAACACATTTTATCTTAAAAAAGCACCATGAACAAAAAAATCAGCACCTTTTTTTTTCTCTCCTGAGGAGCTCTAGTTTCTCAAATGTGGAAAAGGGTTAATTTGAATTATATCAAAAATCCTCTTATTACCCTTTAAATATTGCCTGCATGTCTGAGGTGACAGGAGGCTTCTTTTTGTCATTTGTATTTTATTCCATCACATTTTACCTCTGGCATTCCTTGTGGAGAAAAGGCACTGAAAGGTGGCACAACATCTGAAATATTTTCATATCCAGGAGGAGGTGGTTCAAATAACGATGTATTGAAAATCTGGAGACACAAACACAAAAGCAAATCAGCTGAAGTCTAATTCCTACATTCTAGCAAGGGGAATTGCTTACTATCTTAATTATCTCTGGCGGTTGAGGGGTAACTAATCCTTCAGCATTGTGAAAATACATATCAGATGCTCAGCAATGTGCTAGAAGGTGTGAGGAACACATGAAATAAATCAATTCAGACCTTGTCCTCAACATCCATTTAGGGGGACAAATCTAAAAAAATGCTTTATCCCCCTAAATTAGCAATAGTTTTTTTTTTTAAGTGGCATTGCATCGCAGTCTGACTTAAATAAAAGCCTAAAAATATAGTTGCTTCACAGAAGGCTAATAGTCTATTAACCTCTTGTGATTGAGAGAAGTCATAAGAACCAGCTTTTGATTTAGGAGGAAAAAAAAAAGTTTCCACAGATAAAAATGTTAAATTTTAGTGCCCAAGTACAAAAATAGTAATGTATAGTAATAGTAGGCACTTGTAATAATAGTGCTAAGATAATTAGAAAAAAAAATAAGTATTAAATTTTAATTTACTTTAATGAGCTTATACATAATTGAGGATTATACCCAATAGTATCTGGATACAAGGAACAATATTCACACCAAAAAGAATGAAAACTGTGAAACAAAACATCTAAGTCTTTCTACATGTTACTATTGAATTGAGAAAGAAAAGCAGTAATACTCAGAAGTCACCCCCCAACAACAACAACAACAACAAAAGATATGAAAACAGTAATCTTGAATGAGTGCTCAAATCTGTGCTGTAGTGTGAAGGCTGAAGGCTCCCTTAACGCAGATGTGTTGTTAACAGTTTGTTCTCCAGAGTGGCACTTATGGGAGGAGGAGTAATCTTTAGGAGATGGTGAGCTGATCTTAGGTCATTGAAGATATGCCTTTGAAGGGGTTATGGGGTAGTCTCCAAAGAAGAATGTTATTTAGGGTTAGCAATAAATTAGAAATATATCTGTTCTACAGAAAGTGATGGCTTAGTGTAGAGTGGAAAGAAAGCCACCAGAGAATTCATAGCCGTGCAATTTCCCATTCATAATCCATATGGTACAAAATACCTTAAACTAAAAAATAATATTTTAAAGTAGTACCAGATTTATGGGGTCCCCTGGAACTTGGCAGCAACTATCAGGAAGACTTAGCCTTAAATTTAAGATTTAAGAAAGTTCCACAAAGTTGTGAGAAAGAACTCAGAGTCCCCCCAAATCACTAAACACACAAAAATAGTTAGAAAAGAGCCAACAGAAAGAACAAAGTAAAATCACATCTGCAAAGACTACTTTTCTTGTTTTATTGTACACATGTTGGTTAAAAGTTAGATGAAAAAAAATTAAAAATGATTTGTAGGTTAAAAAACATACAAATCTGGAGAAAATTAATGAGTTTAAGAGACAGATCTGAAGGAATGGCCCAGCATACAACACAGAATCTTAGAAACGAAAAGTATAGGAGAAATATTAAGAAAACTAAAGAATAAAATGAGAATGATTGGGACACACACAGTTCTAAAAGAAGAAAACAGAAAGAATGTGAAAGAAATATATTTGAATATTTAATAACTAAGAATATTACAAAGCTAATAAAAATTATGAACTCTCAGATTTAGGAGTTTCAAAATAGTTTGATCAAAATAAATAAGAAAATAATCTACATTCAACTTGTCATGGTAAAGCCTTAATACTAGGGACTAGGGTTGTGTCTCAGTGGTAGAGCATTTGCCTAGCACATGTGAGGCACTGGGTTTGATTGTCAGTACCACATAATAAATAAAATATTTAAAAAAAAAAAACTCAATACTAGAATACTGAGTATTTAACATTTCTCCTTTCATTGATAGAGAAAGCAGACAGAATAAGGATGCAATTAAGGAAAAGGGTATTTCAGTCAGGTAATGAACAAATGCAAGTCAAAAAGCAGATATAAAATATTAAATCCCAAAACCAACACACACACACACACACACACACATTTAAAAAGAATGAAATATTTATAAAAGTTTACCATATATTAGTGTCTAAGGAAACTTCAACCACTGTCAAAGGATTATCATCCTACAAATCACTTTATCTTATCACAGTATATTTAATCTAAGAATCAGATCAAACTAGACAGTAAGAACAATCTTAAAATTCAGAATTTTAAAAATTCTAAGTAATTCCAGAGTGGAACAATCATAGAAATTAAGAAAACTATTTGATGGTAAGATAACTAAAGTATTCTTTTTGAAAAGTTGTGAGACTCAGTTGAAGTGACACTTAGAGGGAAATTTGTAGCCTTAAAACTCATATTAAAAATAAGGCCAGGTCAGGCCCAGCAACCAGCCAAGGGACTGCAGCTACACGCGCCGGCGGGGAACGCGGACCGGACCCACTAGGACAGGTCCGGCGGCGGACGGCTGAGGGCTAGGCCGGTCCCCTCCCCCAGTGTCTGCAGGTAGGCGGGACTGTGAACACCAGCAGAGCGGGCCCAAAGCCTGCTGAGGGGCGGAACCGGCCCCACACCCAGTGCCTGCAAGCGAGACGAACCTGCAACCCATCGGGAGGTTAGGCCCAGCAACCTATGGAGTGACACAGGTGCCCCTGGCGCCTGCTGGGTAGGTGGACCTTTGACCGACCAGCAAAGCAGACTTAGGGCCTGCCAGCATGGTAGACGGATCACACTAATTGGAGGAGGATCACAGCCACT